TTAAATATTTGATTTGAAGACTTGTTTGCGAAGCACGAAGGTTTGCGTGGTGTTGGTTAAACTCTTTCGTAACTGCTTTCGTAATCTGAGGAAACGATTAAGAAAGGAAATACCCCTCCCCTCTTCCCCCTTCAGCCTTTGCACACAATCAGATGATTTGTTTCGTGCTCAGCCCGGATGACCTCAGACAAGCTCTCATGGTGTACGGAGTCTTAACCCCCTGCCCTACAGGGGTATACCACACCCTCCCCCTCCCCCGTCGTTTCCACCCCCAGCTTCGCCCTACGTCATCCTCGCTGTGTTTACTTTCAAATTGGCTTTCTTCGGGAACCTTGAACAGGATACCATTATACGTCTATTTACGTGGGAGGGAAAGGCCCATTTAGATTATACCAGGTGGCTGATTCACGCCACGAACTTTCGTAGTTGTACTTACCACATTTCACGTGCCTCATGTCTATTCTTGCTGCCCACGGCTCCTTATGGCCCCGTGCGAGTAGGCAACCCACCCACCCAGCACACGCGCCATGCTGAACAGTATAAGTGCGCGGCATGAGCCAGCTTCCTGGCACACCATGAAATGTATCGCTGATCATTAAAACATTTAGCTAAATTTTAAATGCAAAACATGCGCGATGCTGACGGTTGGGGCTGGGGTTGAATGTGACAGCTGCCTTTTCACACTGTTGGGTCACAGGCAAAACAGCAGTAGCAGTGCCTTTTTATAAAAATATCTCATTATTGACAGATCAAGTTCGCTTTAGTATATACGCCGTTGTTTTGCGTGAGGCCTCGTCGCGCTGGCCCCTCCGCAGGATTACAACGCCTGATGATAATTTAATTAATTGGGAGGGGCCATAGCCCAGTTGATCGGTGTCATGTTTCGAAGCCACCCCACCCGCCTCTTGCCTGCGGCTGCGACCTCGGCTGAGGCCCAACTATACACGGTCACCGGGCCAACCCTACCGGCACACCAAAATGAAGGAGTGGCCTCCCGAGACACAACTCGTGTCAGCCCAAACACCTAGTGCAGTCTTCTTTCAGACCTCGTGTTGCAAGCGGTCCTTGCCGTAGAGACAAGGAGACTCGTTAATACAAGCTTCGCGGCAGATCGCTCGGCATTGGCTTCCTCTGTCTCTCCCGCCTCTACCAGGATTTTCTTCCTCCTTTCGCCAGGTCCCTACCCTCTCCCCCTGTCCCAGTCCCTGTTTCTATTCCTCTCCCCAGCTCCGTCCCATGAAGCTGGAAGCTCCCTTGTTTCCGACCGTCTTTTGTTCCGCCTCTGATGGCGCCTGGTTTTAGTTTGTGCAGATCTCTCGAAGTACCCCATCTGGAAATTTCGTTTACGGTTTCTGTTACGATAGATTTTACAGTTTATTACGTAGTTGGTATATATGTTGAAACAATTTACAGCTATGGTTTCGGATAAACGATTACGGTTGGACATATGATTGGGGTGGGGATGAAAAGTCTTTGCAGAAAAAAAGACCCGTAGGTCTAATGAACATTTCTTGAAAATTACTTTTCGAGATGCTTTTGAAATGTCATTACATTATACCTGCAGAACAATGCAACCTTCCTTTGCCACCCGTTCCCTTTCGCCCTGTATCTTGAAAATGGGCGGTGCTTTTTTATGTTTGTACCATTTCTAGATTGTTTTACCCCTTCAGTCCTTGATTCGTTACGTCCAGTCATTACCTGGGATTACACCTGCTTCGCCCTCTTTCGACCACGTATAATAAAATTGTATCCCAAATGTTAATGGGAAGTACAAATAAATTATTACTGGTTATTCCAAAGAAGACGAGGAGTGAACGGTAATTTCTTTTTAGCCTTATTTCGCGTCCCTGGTAACTGCCAACGCAAGAGTGTGTAGTGGTACCTCGTCACTCGACGCAGCCCCTGGGGAACACTCTCCGCGTGGAGGACTCAAGTCTTTCACCCGGCTCTGCTGGGCTGCAATTAAATTCCTTGCGGCGTCTTATCCCATAATCCTGCCGATATTGGTGGGGCCTTTCCTTGGAGTGAGCCGTCGAGCGGAGGTGCGTGTGTGTGTGTGTGTGGGGGGGGGGGGGGGGGGTGTAAAAAGAGGAGAGGGTAGAAAGAGAGATACGAACACACCCCTATTCTGTCCCCCTCCCTCTCCCAGTGGCTTACGACCTGCTCGCTAGCCCGCACCGCACAGGCGTAGTCCGTGTTAAGCCACGAGAGTGTTGCAGCTCCAGTGCGCCGGGAGCCCTCAGTCTTGATTATTTCTTTTCCCCTGAACGTCTTTATTTTCTTTGACGTATAGAACACACCGTGTGCCACCATTCCCGTGCTTCTACCTCATATGGCTTTTCTGATTCTCGTCTCACCCAATGTCAGTAACAACAAGGGGGGTTTACGGATACGAAATACCTTGCACATGTCGAGTGCCCCCCTCCCCCTTGCACACACACCAGTGTGTTTGTTCCGCATCCACCGACCGTTTTCCTCGACCGCTTCCGCCCGCCTCCTCGCGCCTCGTAAAGAACGGGCAAAAGAGCCTCGCCAAACTCTCGGGGCCGCAAAGTTTCCTCGCCCACCTGAGCCCCCTCCCAGTCCCCGGCCGGCTGATGGAGAATGAATTAAGAGTAAAAATAATTTTCTTTTGCCTGAGGTTGGCCTCGCTGCGGGCTGAGAGAGAGGTGGTCCCCGCTGGGACGGGGGCGCACGTTTCGCCAACCCATTAGCTTCGGCTCGGGGTGACTACCGAGTCTAGGGAGAAGGGCTCGCCCTCGCCGTCGAGTGTCGCCCGAGCAGGGGGGGAGGAAGGTGCAGTCGTTCCCTGCCGTCCGTGCCCATCCGCCCCCGTGGTTCAAGGTGGGGCACCACCGGCGCCACTATCTCGGCCCCCACACGCAGAGCGGCCCCGGCCGGGGGAAGGGCTTTGGTGAGGAGGAGGCCCATAGGCCGGCCAGGGACTGCAATAAATCCTTGCCTCCTAGTCTTGCGTTCGTTCCAACGAACCCTTCTTCGGAGGAAGTCGGACGGACGAGACGAGGCGGTGAGCGCGTTGCGAGGGGCGAGCAGGGGCCACGCGACGACTGCCGCGACGTGGAGGAACGCGGAGCGGCGGCGCACCAGGACGACGACAATGTCGAGCGCAAGTAGGGACGCCCGCCCCTCGCCTCGGCTGCCTTCACCGTTCGAGGTGCATGTCGCTCTGCGCGTTTGGCCCCCCCCCTCCCCCCGTATCGCCCCACGGCCGACGGTGCAACTTGTCTGGGGGGCTCAAGGGGTGACAAAGTCCCGCAACGCATGCCAACACGTTCGCCGGTCGAGGAGTACTCTTTTTCCTTTCTTACCCCTCTTCCTTTACCCCCTGCTCTCTCACCACCTCGCGCCGCCACCGCTCCTGCTGCTCTTCCTTATTCCACTTTTATTTCACTTGCCTCTCTCTTCCTGCTCATGTTCGCGCGCAAGGCGGGGCTCGTTCACCAACCACTTTGGCTTTCGCCTTTCTTTTTTGGAATATGGAAAGGAGAGTTGGGGCTCGGGTCGACATCGATTGCTATCACCCGACGAGACCTCGACGACACGCCCTTCAATATACAGTTTTGTTCACGTCTTCCGCGTTGATGACGGGAGGAGATGACGGCGCCGGCCGCCCGCTTTTCTCAATTCTTTTCTTTGAAATAATGAGAATTTATATACAAACTCCTCTGCTGCTGTTGCTGCTGCCCCTGCTACTTCTCGCAGTGCGCGCCAGGGCATTCGAAAATGTTTAACTTTTTTTCCATGCACCCCCCGTCGTCATTTTTATTATTTCTCCAAACATGTCTTTGTCTTTTCCCTCGCATCCTGCCCGGCCGCCGCCGTCGCCCCTCGCTCTCACCCCGTTCTCCCCGCACTTTTACTCTTTTGAGGCGTCTGCTCATTGTTTCCCTATCGGCACGGCGAGGCGTGCGGGCTCATTACTCGCTCCTGCCTCGTGCGCTGCGTGCGCGCCATTTTCATTTCTTTTCTCTCTCTCCGTCGTCTGGAATCAGATTAAAGAGAGAAAAAGAAAAAGGGAGAGGCGGATGAAGAAAATGGCCCCCTTTTCCCGCTCCGTGTGCGCATCTCTTGTAGAATAACGTTTCGTGGTGTGTGAAAATCGTTGACGTTTTGAAGTGAGGACTGACGGCCCCCCCGCACCTATTCCATATTCGCGCGGGTACGACTTTGGTGGCGAAAACAACTCGAAGCCCTTTTAGCACTCCCTCTTGTAGGAGCGGATTCTAGGGACGCCACATTCGGGGTGCGCCCCTCGCTCATACAAGCCCATCTCGCACCGGAACCGAACTGTACGTGGAGCTTTAATGTCGCCCAGCGGGGTGCGAGGCCGGGGAGAAGGAAGGGGGAGGGGGGGGGGCGTTGAGTACGTTGGGTCGAGGATTGGCCGTCTGATGATAATCTAACTCCCCTTTCCCTTCCGGACTCGGTGCAACCTAACATACCCCCCTCCACTTCACCTCTTGCGCCCCCTCCCTCACGCGCGCCCCCTGTCCGGCGTTCAGAGTAAAGTATGTCGCAGCTGTGACGCTCATAAGGGGCCCCGCCCCGCCCGCGCCCCGGCCAGCACCCCGCCCCATGGACCCTCCTACACTGTCAACTGGCAAGCACCTCTCGCCAATTGTTACACAAACCATGTCGCGCGTACTACTTGCAAATGTTTCACTGGGAATGTGAACACTAGCCAGCGTTGGGCTGTAAAAGCTGGACACTTGTAAGTGTTAAACCTGGGTTTTAACTTTCCAGGCAACTTGGAATAATGTAAATGACAAGTAAAACACACGCAAGTGAGACGGACACAGAGTGAAACGCGCGTGCAAGGGCTTGACAGTTCTTTGTGATGTTTCGGACAATTGCAACCGTTTTTTTTTTGTGTTAAATGAAACACAGGTGTGAAGGAAAAGATTTTTGGTTACGGCGCGTATTACCCCTGGACATTCCCGTTACCCTTCTTTTGTAACGTTCATTGCTCCTTGTTCCAGTTGACAATGGCGCTCGCCTCCGTGCGCTGGAGGTTCCAGCCGGAAGCTCGCCCTCGGCAAACAGCCTCCTAGCGAGCTTCGACAAGTCCATCCTGCAGGTGAGTGACAAACTTTTGTACCCTAGACAAATGAGGATCGCACGAACCTATTGTATAGTGGGAGGGTGAACCACTTCCAAACACCCAACGACAGACAGTCAAGTAAGAACGATATGTGAGGAAAGGGTATAGTGGTGGAAGAAACGGGAAGTATTCTATATTTCGCTTTGAGGGCTTATGGTGACGGCCCCAGTCACATCGCCTGCGGGCTGTTACCTCCTGATAGGGGGAGGGAGGGAAGAGCATGTATCTGGTGGTGAAAGGGACTCGTCCCAGAGGGGAAGGGGACGGGGGGCTCTTTCGTTTTGGTGGGGTAGGGGGGAATGCTGATGAACTGGAAGTTGTGTCGGGGGAGCAGAAGGGATGTACCATCTGTCCAGTAGAGGATTGGGTGGCGTTACATGTGAGTGTGAGTAAGGGACCGTCCATGTCTCTCAGTCATTGTAGAATTCCCCGCGTAGAATTCGCAGAATACGCAGATTTCTAAAAGAAAGTTTGAAGTTTTGTGGTTAGGGGGGGTCACTTTTTGTTGAATCGTTTATGGAAAGGATATTGTTCTCTTTTATTTGAATCCGGCTCAGAATTTCAATTATAGCAAAAGAGTGCGCTTAGCTACGCCCACGTCTCCTGCTGCGCGCCTGAAGGTTATCCCACGCGGTGGCACGGCTGTGAGCGTGTTGCCGCTCGCAGGCGCTCGCCCCAAGGCATCAGCGGGCGTGAGCCCCAGAGCTGCAGGCATGTGAGATCTTTCTAATAAGAGAGAGCACACTCTAAATGTAGAGGGACAATTTTGTTCCCATCCATTTCGTTCACATCCAGACACGATGCAATTTTGTTCCGAAATTTTGCCATGTTGTGTACAGTTTTACCCAATATGTCTAGTTTGAGGAACGAAATTGCACCTGGTCTGAATGTGCACAAAAACGTTGACTTATTAGTAACAAAATCGTCTCTTTACATACAGAGTGCAGCTTTTAAATCTGTGCATTTTTAACCAACCTCCCGTAAATGTTTATAAATCGTGGTAAGTTGGCTTCTGAGTATTTTACAGCACCCAATCGGATGTGGTGCGATAATTTACAGCTAGCTCCTTCTTAGTCAAAGATGATGGAGTTTTTACAACGTGTCAGGTCAGGTGTCTTTTTTTCTCCGTAAGATTTTAGGGGAAAGACGCGGAGGGGGGAGGGTGGCACTGAAAATACCAGAGTCAGATATCTTACTCTCAGGAGAGTGAGATCAGTGACACTAAAAATCTTACTCTCCTGAAAGTAAGATATCTGACTCTCACTCAATTTGAGTCATAATTTGCGGTCCTCACCCAATGAGAGTGAGGTTTCTCACTGCAAGTAGGCGAGGTCAGAGAAATCTTACTCCTCCAGAGTGAGAATTCGGTGCATATGACTCAAATAGGGTTAGCCTTATAGTCATCGCTCTGATTGAGCGAGGCAAAATTGTCTCACTCATTTCGAGCACGACACCTCACTCAAAGGTTTTCAGTTTGGGGGGGGGGTACATCTGTCAAATTAAAATTTAGTTGGGAATCCATTCCGTCGAAGCCAATTTCACATTCAACTTTCCGTTTCATCACATCGACCGCCCCGTCCGCTGCTGACTTTTCCCAGTTGTCAATCTGGGGGTGGCGGGGTGTAGGCCGCACCGTGTGCCGCGGGCTCGCATGCTGGGGCCGGCCTTGTCGACAGACGGAGGAGGAGGAGAGGGAGGCGGAAATGGCAGGGGAAATGAGGTGGGGAAGCGCCAGAGACAATTTGCGCTCAGTTCTCTGGTGTGCCAGAGTGAGCAGACCACTAGTCAAAGCTGTGACTCAGTCAATAATGAAACTTATATCATTTATGAAAGTCTGTAACAAAGATGACTAAAAGTGACTGCTTGATTTCCAAGCAAATGTGGTAATTTCCAAGCACTTTTTGCACATTAATTTTAGCGTGTTCTTGAACAAAATAATAACAACAATAATTTCAAAAAAGCAGTTCAGCTTTTGTCCCGAGCGGTCCTGCGGATGTCTAGTGAGATAGTGTCTTTTGCATCGGTGAAGTTCGGACGTGGACATTGGACATTTTCCTGGGGGGAAGGTTTGTCTTGCGGACTCCTGCAAGGGATTCGATCAGAAGTACAACTGGCGCAGGGAACAAAACAGAGTTGTCACAGCTTCATCAAATTAATTTATTTGTATTTCTCTTTTGCAGATCCGTGATTGGCTCACAGTGGAACAAGAGATGTTGCGCCAACAGACGGTGGTCGTTGGGGAGGTGGGGGAGATTCTCCAGGTGCTGGACAAGCAGAAGGTAAGCTACTCCAACCCCACCCCCTCCCCGGACCCCACTCGCAGTTTACGTGTTTGCTGTCAAATACTTTTGTCATCCCTCTCCCCCTCCACCCTCTTTCTCTCAGAGCGGAGTCCTTTGAGACGCCCCTCCCCCTCCCCTCTCCTCTGCAATTACTGCAGGGATATCGCGCCCTTTCTTGTTGGAAATGAGGACGATGTCCGCACAGCTTCTCCTCCCCCACCCTTCCTTTTACCCCCTCTCCCAGCTTCTTGTACTCGAAAAGATACACAGACACCGCGAAAGTATCATCAAATGAAAGACAGAGCTCCTCAACTCTTATACTATCTTGTTTCTGAACGGTCCGATTCCTCCCCTATATCGCCCCATATCCTCCATGATGGTGCCGGGCGCCCCCTCTCTCTCCGCGCGTGCGTGTGCCCCACCCCGCCGCGCCCCGCCGCGCCCCGCCGCGCCCCGCCGCGCCCCGCCGCGCCCGCAGTTGGAACACACCCCGCCCCTTGCATACGGTCTTAGAAGCCTTGCATGGGCCCCCCCTCCGGTCATTTTACGCTGATTATTTTCCGGCTTCGCACGCCGACACGCGAGGGGCGGCGCGGAGCAAGTGATAGATGAAGGGTGAAAAATAAAAAATACAACCCCTCGCTTGTTCGTATTTTTGGTTTGACGGCGCAGTCATATCGGGCCGATGTGACCCTACGACAGGGCGCCGCGTTATCCATCGGCTGTCCATCTCTTTATCTGTCCCTCTTCCGTCTTGTGCTGTCGAGTCCGTCTGTCGTTGGCCTGTTGCGCTTGCCGGGCGCTATTACGAAATAACGTCAGAACAGGGCGGGCGGGCGGGCGGGAGAGTTTGTCGTGTTACTTGTTCATTAAATGCCGTCGTTTGTGTGTCGGCCACGCCACTCCCTGCCAGGCCCGCCACACCCGCTATATTGTCTGTGAATATTGCCAGGGCAGAGTCGTAGGCAGGATAGGACCGGGGGTAGAAGGGGGGAGGGAAGGGGGGGGACTTAAAAGGGCCTCCTGTCCTGTTAGAGAATATAAGAGAGGGGTTGGAGGGAGGAGAGGTGGAGCGGACTAGGGAGGAAGAGCGTCAACCGCTTAATGAGTAGTTTGGGGGCGCTCCAAGTTAGAGGACAGAGCGGCTGTACCCAAGGAGAAGGTACGGGCCTCGGCCACGGAGCCTTACTGGCGGCGTGTTACCCCCTGCCCACGCAAGGCGTCTCGGCGGTCTGGTAAAAGTCTTCCCTCTTTTCCGCTCGGGTAACTTGATTGATTGTTTGTTTTAAGACATCGCACGCCTGCGTGCGTGGGGTGAATCAGCCAACTGCTAGCTGCATTTGTCACGGCTTCACAGATGAATAGTCCAACATCAATTTTTTATGGTGCGTGTACACTGGTAAAACAAGTGTGCAAAATGTGTACACCAACATAACATGGTGTTAACAGTTAACGTTACGTTGATCACTTGCGTGATGTCCAAATTTTAGACGTTTTCGTAAACGTGTAAATTTTGAACACTTGGACACTCATTTAATCCTGTAAATGGGAACCAGAAGGTGTGAGCTGCTATACCTTTCAGAAATGTCGAAGGTTTGCGCACACCGACTGTCGTATAGTCAAGTTACTTATAGACACCACGCAATGCGGCCAAAATTTGCACACTTGAAACTTATGCATCAATCGAAGTGAAAAATTAAACTCATTTTCATTACCAGTGTATGCGTGATTGCGGCTGTCGTGTTGTATGCGTCACGCACGCCAAGCTAATGGTGGTCCTGTGCGACATTAGGCCCTCATCAGGCGCGCGTCCGCTGCTCGGCAACAATTGCGCTGCAGGACATGATCCGTCAGCCGCCCACTCCCGCCTCCTGTCATAGAAACAAAAACAAAACGTGCGCCAGCCATGTCAGAATTGAATGCCCTCATACCTCCACTTTCTTTTTGTTCCTTTGCTGTTTTTTTTTTTGTAATGTTGCGATCATTTAAAAGCATCATTCTAGCTGTGCAGAGCAGGTGAGAGGGGAACGCATTCTACCGACATGCCGCCGGGGCCGGGCGGGGGGTGGGAGCCGGCTGGGGGCAAGGGCCACTGGGGCCAGGCCGGGACAGGCACGCCTGGAACGCAAATATGTAAGGGCATTCCGACAGGCGGGGGCCAGGCCAGGCCCGGGGAGGGAGCCGGAGGGAGTAGACACGTGTAGCGAGGCTGTGAGGCACAGAGTACCTGGGGGAGCGGTGGGTGGGATACAGCAAGCGGCCGTGCGCAAGAGAAGTCTGTCATGGAAGGGAATAAAAGAAGGTTCCGCGCTAATCAATTTAAATGGTCAATAAAAAAATAATAAAAGGCTGCAAGTTTCAAGATATAATATTTGTGGTCAGTTTATAGGTGATCTGAGCGGCAGAGCTAGATCACCAGTAAGAGAACGGAATTTTGTAGTTTGTCTCGTCAAATTTAGTTGAGCTGAAAAAAAAGTACCTACCGCCACTGTTATTTGAAAAACAGTGTTGTTCTGCGGGGGCATTTGCCCGTGCGCAATGCTCGGTTGAAGCGCGCACTCTCCCCCAAAGCCTCTCTAGAGCCGCCTCCGAACGTATAGGCATGAGCCCTTGCTCGCTCGTAACCGCGCCTGTTTACGACGGGCTGCACCTATGGCTGCGTTGGCGCTCGTGCCGCTCCGCGCCGCTCGTGCCTCAACCTCTCCATATCCTCACTTAAACTTTTACTGAAATTGTGACAGGATATATTTTATAAACGAATGATTCGTGAGCGGTCCCACTTACCAATAAAGTGTGAAACTGGCGTCTACATGCAGGTTCTCAATACTACCTTGCACATTTTTAAGTGTTTTGACTGTACATTTTAATACTAAAGTCCAGTTAAAAACTTAGAAGTGTTCAACTTCAGGGTTGGCCATGGAGCTTTGGACACTTTCAAGTGTTCAAATTAATCGTTGATTTTTTTTTTAAGTATTCAAATGTCTATTTCAACACAAGTGTGCACGAGTGTGCACCCTAGTTGAACACTACCATGTGTATGGCAGTTGGACACTTCTAGGGTGGTCAAACAGGAAACAAATCCACTGTAAATATGTTGGTGTTCCTTTCTGCGTTGGCTTTAAAAGGGCCTCTGATACCCCCCTTTTCAGGCCCTTTTCTATCCCAATTACCCTTCCCTCCCACCCCGTCTCCCAACAACGGTTTGCTCGCGGTCAATTCGGCGGCCGTACAATCACGGGGTTGAATGAAGAGGGGAGACGGGCGTGAAAGACGAGGTGGAAAAGCGAACCTGGCGTGGCGTGGGGTGCGGGAGGGAGGGGAGGGAAGGGCGTACGGTCGGGGCTCTGAGGGGGTTGGGTTGGAGAAGGGGGATGAGCAGCGGAGAGAAATGGATGGATGAAGGGCCGGGCACCTGCCGCTGCCACCGCTGCTGTGCCGGCTGGCCGTGTGCGCACCCGCAGCCCGCAGGTCGCGCTTGGGCCAGTGGAGCGCACGGGGATCAACGGGATTAGCCTCTCACGACTTCTTGAACTTGGACTGCGACTTGACTGTCCCGTGACCGAATCCCCCGGAACCTTTGAAATAAATGCACGTTTCATTTTTATCCGACATGCGCGTCGCGTGGCGCCTTTACGACAGTCCTCTCCTCATAGGTTCTTATTATTGTCGCCACTGTACTGTATCGTGATTTAATTACGGTAATCTACGCAAATCTCGGTGAAACTATAATAGTGGGCTTATCTATCTTATTGTCGCTCGACAAGTCCGGTACCGTAGAATTATTTTTTATGTTTACAAAACTATCGGAAAATATCACATTAATTGTAACTTGATCGTGAGAGTAAATTTGCCATATAATGGCATATATGTCCCTCCGCTTGGTGCGCACCGCAGCCGGCAGGGGTGGTTCACGGGCACCCCTAGGGGTGGCGCCAGGGTGTATCGTTGCGTCACCGCGAGGGGTAGAGGCAGAGATGTCGGCGCTACCGGAGCGTCTCGGAGCGGGGTGTAGTGCCGAGCGCCGCACCCCGCGGGGTAGAGACGGACAGAAAGATAAGCGATGAGTAACGACGACGTGTTGCAATGTGCGTGATGCTCGAGCGATAATTGGTCCTCAATAACTGTCTAGATATTGTAGGATCCTACAAGTCGACTCAAAAAACCAAATTAGATACCAATAACAGATAATCCAACTTGTTGCGAGCCGTTCCTGGTAGTATTTTATGAATTAACCTCTCCACTTAAAAGAAAAAGTAAGGAGAGGAGGGGTGGGCGTTTTCCTTTAGCAGAGACAGTCTTGGGGACTGTCTAAAAGTATGCACCGCAATGGCGCAGTACTTATGAACCCATAAACAGCCCGCAGTTGTTAAAGAAATATCCCTCAAGGTGCTAAAAATTAGTGCCTTGACAGTTATAATGACTTTGTTTATTAGGATCAAACCCTGCTTAACACCTCTGTTTTTTCATGGCCAAAATGCAACTTTCATGTTAAATTTTCCTTCCCGCGCTTTTGTAAACTGACGAAGCATTTTGCTAGCGCTGACGCACAGGCTAGCCTATGGGACTGGGACTAAGGGAGTTGTCCATCTGGCCCGGCCTCCGGCTGCTGCTGCTGCTGACGGTCCGCAGGGAACATGCCCCCCCTCCAGCAGCATCTTTGGTCCAGCCCAGCCAGATGAGACCCACTCTGGAGCCAGCAGCGGGCAGCACACCAGAACTGTACATTTTTAAGCCCCCCACCCCACCCCCCAAAAAAAAAGACAGAAAAGAAAAAGGATGGGGTAATCTTCCATCTTCCAGGATTGAGGCATTCAAGCTGTTGTAGGTGCTCGACCGACCGTTGTCACGAAAAGCCACGCTACCTCTGGAACCAGGCGTGTCCGCGGTCGCGTTACTTCTAGGGGTGGGGTTTGTGTGTGGCAAGCTTACAGAGCTCTGCAGTCTTTGCGTGCGACAAAGATGCGAGACCCTGTTCTTCCTCTTTCCCTCTATCCCCTCACCAATCCCCTTGCTCCCCCTCTTGTCTCCCCCCTCCTCACCACCCACATACCGCAAAGAGATAACAGCCCGGAATCGTCTCACTCCGGGGATCGTTCGTGCAAAGCCACTTTGTTTTGGAGTGTTTGTATGTGAGAGGTGCTTACCCGAGCGTACCAACAAAGACCCCCAAAGACTCCAAATAAGTAAAGTAACGACACTGCTGACCCTTGACTGAGGTTGAGTTCCGGGCTCGCTACATTTTGAGTGTCATGTTCTTCGAATTCACACCACAAGAGTGTGCTAGCCGAGAAAAGCAGTGTTTGAGATAAATTATGATCGAACTAAATCGTAGTTATGGGAACATAATAGAGATGTGACGGCTCGAGCAAGACTGCCGCATTGCGCACCGATGTGTGCTCTGTTTCCCTCTTTCTGATTGATGGTGCTCCTGACGTGCTCTTGTTGTTGCTGAAGGAGTTTAAGGAGAGAGTGAGAGGGGCGAGGAGGGGAGGGGGCTTGAGGCTGCGTTTGATGTGGTTTGGGGTGCTGGGCAGGAAGGAATGCTCGGGAAGGGTATATGTGTGCGTTGGGGGGGCTAGAGCGAGATAAGTATGCCCCGAGATTCAATGACGTTAAACGATAAGGAGAAGGGGCACGGGGGCGGGGTGCGAGAGGGTGGGGACGTGCAACAGAAGGCCGGCGGCGGGGCTGGGCTGGGCTGCTAGTGGCTCGCGTTGCCCAAGAGTTTAGCGCTCCCCTGGGGGCGATGCTTTGCGCAGATAGCCCCATACTCCTGGGGGGATTTGTGTGTGAGAGAGCGAGAGAGAGAGAGATAGAGGATGGAAGACGAGCACTGGGGGCCGGACCCTGTTGGATGGCGCGGTGCCAGCCGCAGCAAGTGTTTTCCCGAGTGTTTCTGTAGCGCTGTGCCCTCAACGTCTGTTCCAGAACGTCCTGCGCGAGCTGGAGCACAAGAAGCCCCAGCTCGACGACCTGGTGCACACGGCCGAGAACCTCAAGGCCGACTCCAACCGCCAGCAGCTGCACAGCAAAGGTGAGTCCGCTGGGCGCGCCGCCGCCCCAGCCTGTTGCTGGGGCCCATCGCGGCCGGGGGCATAAAGACGGGCAAAAAGAGACAGAAGGTCCGGTCAGCGCAGCAGATAATTACCGCCACGCTCGTTGAGCGGGCTCGTGTCTCGGAGGGTCTCGTATCAAAGTTGGAGCTGGCGCGGGCGCTGACATGAGCGGAGCGCCCTATCCCGCCTGGGTGAGCGACCCGCCCCCGCGGGACCGTGTGTGCGAGAGGGCTCCGGGGGGCCCTCCGCGTGTGCGGAGCGAAGCAAGTTTTATCAACTTCCTGGGACTAATGGGCCCCTTGCTGCTGGCCCCCATAAGCGAAGTGGGGGGGTTGTTCGCGTCAATCGCACAAGGCTTGTGCTCGTAGTTTTTGGCGTGTTTTGATTTTGTTTTTTCGCCACGCACGAGTTTCATTTCGTCCATATAAAACGCGAGAATGTAGCTAGCTGACTGCTCAACGGAGTTCCGTACGCCTACAGGGGTGGCCGTCCAGCCCCGTTGGAGCCTGCATGATCAAGGAGCGCCTTTCGACCTATGAAGGAAACCATGTTATACCGTGTTATACACCTCTTGCCGTTTTATATTTTGATCCAGTTAGTTCAGTTGATGGTCAAAATATTTGGATCGCGCTTATTTGGAAAGCAATTGATATCTCGTCAGGTAGCTTGCGCCCCCCCGGGCTCGCCCTCCCCTCCTGGGGTCGTCCCTCTGCTAATGAGCTGCCGCCCCGTCCATGCTCCCCGGGGCACCGAGCAGCCCGAGGAGCAGCCCGAGGAGCAGCCTCCCTGCGAGTAAACATAGCGAGAGGGCCCCGCCCGCCCTGAGGAGACGGAACGCGCTGCCGGCCGGCTCCTCCGCTATATTATACCTTGGGAGCCGGCACACGATTATTGGACGGTCCCGTTCGCCCCGTCATTGAGGGGCTGCTGACTGCAAACTTTGGGGCAAACTGCTCTGCTTTGCAGTGGAATGAATATTGTCCTGCGGAGAGCAGAGCAGAGCGGCGGCGGTATGGCGGGCAGACGGCGGCGGAGAAAGTTCCCGGCCGGCGGCGGCGGCACCCTCATCATCTGCGAATCACGGCCAGAGAGCCGTTTTGATAATTTCTCGGTCGATCATGATGCGCCCCTTGCGTGCCGCCCGAGGCGCCCGTATTATTAGGCTTTTAATTTCCATAACGCGCGTTTTTTATAGGGGAAAAAGGGGGGGGGGCTGCCTTCCTCTAGGGCATTATTGCTCAACAGCTAATGATTCATCTGCTGTCGGGGTCAATAAACATGTTTTCCTTTATACTGGAAACACAAAGGTGTCAAGTCGCACCTTTCGCTGAGTTCCGGGGAGCGAATTTATATTTTTCACCCGTCCCTCTTCCCCCTTCTCACTGAGGAAGATGATTTAAGTCGTGTCGCAAACTCAAGTTTGTCGTATAGTCCAGTAGTGTAGCAGCGAATTCACAATTTTGCCCTACAATTGTTAATGTGATGCACTCCTGTCCAACAGGTCTGTATTTATCTGGAACAGGGCGGCCATGTTAAAAAATCAGGACTGATTTACAATTTCGATTGCCCTCTACTAAAAACGGTTCTTGCTTGTATCATCGTCATCGCTGCTTCACTAGTGAGGAAATTGCCCAGCGACCAAGCCTTCGGGGGCCACGTGGTGTGTTGAACTATCCGTTAACGAGATTTGTTTAGGCGCTGCCAACTTGGGACAGAAGTTTTTGGGGGCTTGCGTGCGAGGCGGTTTGAATGGAGGGGCAGAGGCCCGGGAGATCGCGAGAGGGGATGAGTCCTCCTCACCGGTTTCTTATTTGCCCACTTCTTTCCCAGCCGAGGGATGGAGGCGGGTGGAGGGGGTCAGAAGGGGCGGGGAGGTCGTTGCCAATCCGGAAAAGTTGCGGCCGCCTTTTGTTTACCGTCGAGTGCATCCTGATTTCACCCCTCGTTGCGTCCGTACTTCTTTTTTCCCCACTTTCGTGTACTTTTTAAACTTATTTTCCTCTGTCTGAGTTAAAGAAGACGGCAGCAAATTCAGTACTCTCCGCCTGCGATACAGCATAAATGTCTACGTTGAAAAATGCTTCTTTGCTGCTGAACAAGTAATCAGGGAGCGATTATTGGTCGAAACTTGTTTTTCGGCGTATTTATAAATATCTTCCTGCTTGTAATGTTGGCGACGGCAAACAGGATACATCTGCTCCTCTGAGTGTGGTTTTGAGCACGCGAGACGCAGGGAATGAATGGTTCGTCGTGGGGACGGCCGGGCAGGCCTGCTGTGCAGCCCGTGGCCCCTGCGATCTGTGGGTAGGCAACGCGGCGCACACGTCAGTGCGGCGGGTGGACTATGCTGAGGTTCGCAGGCGCCCGGCGGCGGAGCCCACTGAAGGCGTCGCGTCGGGTAGGACGGCCGCCCCCGAACCACGATGAACAACGAAAGACCGCGCCAAACGAAAACTGTAGTGACATATGCCGCTTTTGCGACCACGTCTCCTTATTTGTATCGGCGCAAAGAGGGTGTATACGAGCGGTGTATGTGAGAGGGCAGGGCACACACCGGACCATGACAGGACATCCCGCTCACCTCTTGCCTCTCTCTCCTGGCCGTCTGCGAGCGGATGAGAGGGGGGGATTGCGGGGCCGAAGGGGCGGGGGTCTGCCCCTCCGCAATCTCTGCGCCGCCCTCCCGGACGACCTCTGGGAAGGAAATCCGGAGGGCGGACGGGGAGAAGAGTCCGCCGCGACTGTCTGACTTTCCTTCTCTTCCCCTTTTCGCCCCCTTTCTCTTTTTTCCTCGCCGTCGCCGCCGCTTTCTCGTGTCATTTAATTTCGCATGCCTGCGCGCCCTGCTGGTGAACTGAGAATGGAGTGGAAGAAACTGATAGAAAGTGACAAAAGCGATCGCTTTTCAGTGTGGAGTGGCGTGCGGAAATTATTTGCAAATGAAAACGTCGGCCGTCGCGGCCCAGTTCTATAGCGACTGCAAAATAAAGTCGGAGACAAAGGGAGAGAGAGGGAGAAGGGGAGTATAAAGGTTTTCCAAAGTCTGGCATCGAGCGCGCCTTCGCTCGCTTCACCCACGAGTCCCGCGGCGACGTTTTGCCCCCCTTTGGAGCGGTGACCCTACCACGCTGGCTACGCACCGCATACCAAGCAAGAGTGATCTGCGATGCAGATGGG